TTTGATAGTATTGTGCTCCACACCTTGATCCTGCTCACCTCAGGTCTACTACATACATTTTAAAATACATTATCTTCACACCATCCAAGACCCCCCTCCATTCCACCTCTTTGTGAGGTAACTGAGCACTGTACTGAGTGTGGCCTCTCATTCCGCTTTCATCTGTAAAGTTCCACATTAAACAGGCAATTCTCTAAGCTAATTGGAGTCTTCTGTTACTCCATCTTTGTTTTTAGGTTCTGATCTAGAAACATTTTATGTATCTCTGCAGTGCATCATCTCTTTCAACACAAATAATTGGAGACTGATGTTGTCTCACTTGTCAGTTTTTGCTTCTCTTCTTGTGCCTTGGATCCTACCCAGAAAATCACTGCCCGGAACAATGTTTTGAAGTGATTCACCCCCAGTTTTCTTCCAGTGAGTTTAAGAATGTTAAGCCTTACATTTAATTGTTTGATGCCTTTTAAGTTGCTTTTTGCATAGAGTATAAGGTAAGGTTCATTTCAGTCTTCCACTTAAGAATATGTAGTTTTCCAGCATCATTTATTGACTGTTCTTTATCCAGTGAATATTTTTGGTACCATTGTTGAGAATCAGCTGGTTGTAGATGTAGTGAGTCTTCTCAAGGTTCTCTGTTCTGTTCTTGGTCTATGTGTTTGTTTCTATACCCACACCCAGTTCTGTAATTACCCTAGCTTCGTAGTGTATTTTGAAGTCAGGAAGTGAGATGACCCAAGGTGATTCTTGTGCTCATGATTTACTTTCACTCTTCATGGTCACTTGCACTGACATAAGTTTTTAGGAATTATTATAGTTTCATAAATAATGTCATTGGTGCTTTGATGGACAGTCATTAACTATAACTTGCTTTGGGTAATATGTATTTTTTGCTATAATAATTTTTCAAATCCATGAACTTAAAAGGACTTTTTAATTTATATGTGTGATGTGTGTTTTTAAATTTTTAGCAATGTTTTTCAACTTTTACTAAGAAGTCTTTTCATTCCTCAGTGAGGCATATTCCTAAGCATCTCATTGTTTTGGGTAGTTCTTGTTCTTTCATGATTCTTTCTTTATAAATTCACTATTGGTGTATATAGGTATTATTGATATTTATGCTGATTTTTATTCTATTATACAACAGTATTGATTTTCTTCATAAGTTCTAATATTTATTGGATGAAACTTTGATGATTTTTTAAAAATTAGATTTATTTTATTTTATTATGTGTGTATTTTACCTGTATCTATATATGTATGCCATATGCATGCCAGATGCCAACAGAGGTCAAAAGAGAGCATTGGATAACCTGGTACACAAATGGTTGTGCACCATCATATGGGTGCTAGGACCCAAACCTAGTCCTCTACAAAAACAGTGTTCTTAACCACTGAGCAATATCTCCATCCATATTGATTCAACTGAAAACAGAATAATTTAACTTTGTTCCTTCCACTTTTATATAGTTTCTAATTTCCTTTTTTCTTTTATAATTGTGGCTACAATATCAGTTCTATATTTAGTTAGAGCTAAGAGAGTAAGTGTGTCTTATTCTTGATTCTAGAAGAAATGTTGACAGTTTAATTAATTCAATGTGATGCTGGCCATTGGGTTGTTACATATAGTCTATATTATCCTTGAGTTATTATCCTTGTATCTCTAATCTGTTGTGGACCTTTATCGTGAAATGTCATTGTTTGTCATCTATTGAGATAGTCATATGATATTTACACTTCAGTTTGCAGACTAGGTATATTATTACATTAGTTTATTTGCACATCCTGTCATCCTTGTACCCCTAGGCTAAAAACAACTTGATGATTTTAAGTGATCTTATTAATAAATTTGATTTTTTAGTACTCTTATTTTTCTGGATCAAATTTTTTGTTGATAATTTCATATGTGTGTACAACACATTGTTACTACTGTCCACCCCCTCACCCTATAAGTCCTTTCCCACATTCATGCCATTTTGTTTTGTTTTTGACTCATTGATTTTTAACAAGGGTCAAGTGGCAAAAAGTTTGGAAGTATCTATTGGATCCTGACAGGCTCGCCATTTTATATACAACTGAAGACAATTACTGTCCCTCCCCTAGAATCCATGAGTCACCAATAGTTCAGCAAAGGGAGGGAGCACCCCAAGAGCTCCTCTCTGATCCTTAGATGGATACAGCTAAATGGAAATGAGTGTGGAAGCATCCAAAAAATATAGAAATGGAACTACTATATAACCCAAATCTACCAGTCCTTTGGAGTACATCCAAAGGACTCTCTATCCAACTAAAGAGACACTTGCTTTTCCATGTTCATTGCTACTCTAGTCACAGAAAAGGAATCAGTCTAATTGTCCATCAACTGATGAATGGATGATGAAAATGTGATACATGAATATAATGAAATTTTATTCAGGTATAAAGAATAACACATGTAAATGCATGGAATTAGAAAAGAAATATGCTGAGCAAGGCAGTGAGCCAGGTCCAGAAAGACAAAAGGAGCCTGTTTGCGCTCTTCCACAGGTCCTAGCTTCAAACTTCTTAATTTGTGTGTTTAACTTGGAGCACTTCTAGAAACCAAGAGACTAGGAACAGGTCTTTGATGGGTTCAATGCCCTAAGGGAAGGGAGCTATTAGAATATACATTTCCATTTCCATGACAACCTTTGCTTTCTGTCTATGTGGGTCTTTACTAGTCAAGTGGGTTGGTGGGCTATTACTGGGTATTTTTACACTTTTAATTCACTCTGACAATCTCTATTATTGGGACTTTTGCTTGTCATTTGACTTGTTTCCTTCTGGTTGCTTTATTCTTCATTTCCTTTGTTCATTTTGTGGTTTGAGGGTTTATTGAGCCAATATTAGATTTTTTTTTCTATATTCCTTTTATGAATCTACTTTTCTAGTGGAATGTGCACTGATACATGTGCCTTGGTGAGAGTAATAGTCTTTCTTTCACTCTGCAATAGGGGTTTCTTTGAGTATCTTCTGTGATGCTGGTTTGATTGACATGAACTCCCTTAGGTTTTGCTTGCTTTTGGATGCTGTCACTTCCTTTTGATTTCTTAACCTCATGGATTCTAGTAATCTTGGTTGGCACCTTATTTCTTTTAGGCCTTAGAATATAACTTTCTATTTCCTCCTAGCATGCAGGATTTTTGTTGAGCATTCTGCTGGTAATGTAAGGAGGAGACTATGACACTTTTTCCCCCGTCAGATTTTAGAATGTTTTTATTGTCTTAAACTCTTAATATGTTATGATAAAAGATTTTTGGTCATTTCTAGTGGTGTCTAATTGGTCTCTTATTTCTCCCAAGATTAGAAAAAAAACTCCTATTATTTTTCTGCAAACAGAGTTGCTATGCCCTTAACTTTTCTCATCCACTTTGGGTGGATATTAAAAAAAAAAAAAAAAAAAAAAAAAAAAAAAGCATGATTTTTTTTTTCACTTAATTCTGTCCTGAAAATATTGGGTGCTGTCTTAACTCTTTCTTCCTGTTTACACTACCTTCCCTCCTGTTTCCAATTTTATTCCTTTCTTTTACTTCTGACTGGAACATTTCAAAAGACCTAGTATCAACTTCATACATTCATCTGTCCAGTCAATGGTACAAGTAGATGTTCCATGGGGCAAGACAGCACCATCACTTACACTTAGACCTTAGGCAGGAAGACTTAATGTTCCATTTTATATCATCTGATGAATTCTTAGTCAAAGATTTCTACAAAGGAACTCTTCTTAGGACATTTCCCAAGCAGACACTGAGTTACTATGTGGAAAACAGAGACTTTTAACTGCTTGTGTCCTCTATTCTCAAGTGCTAAGTCTGTACTTGGGATAGGGGACACCTTTTGAATTTCTGAGCTATCAAAAACATCAAAGTCTGCTCTTCTGCAAAAGGACCACTACTATTTTCTCAAGTGTTTCCCCCAATTTTACACTTCATGATGCTTCTGATTTTATGCCCATTTCTGTGTTTTCTTTCTCTTATATGATTAACAATGTGGTTTGCATTTGAATTTATTTCAGTTTTGTTTACATTTTAAATCCTAGAGTGTTTCTATCTGAGGATGTATTTGTCTACTATTTATAAACCCTTTCAAACTCTATTGGTTTCTCTCACACAAATGCCTCAGGAACATTAAGAATTTTCTTCATAGATTCTTGCTTTTCATCATGAAATCTCTACTCCAGCCCATTCTGTAATAAGAATCCTCTAAAATGCTTTCCTGCCTAGTTCCAGCTAACTTCATATCTATGCAGTAAAAACTGTACACTAACTGACATTTATGTGTTATTTTCTTTACTGGCCTAATGGCCCTATACTGAACTTTGAAAATACTGAAGAGCACTGGTCATTTCAAACATAATTGTAGAAATATAGATTGCTTCAAGTCAACTTTTTCCAGTATTATTTTTTAATTTTGGTTTACTTTTGCTTTTAATTTTCCTTTTAAAAATTACAACACATGATTTAAGATAGATTTTATTGTTTTCCTGGTATCTCCCACTTCTCTGGCTCTTCTACATGCATGAAGTCCTCTCCTAGGCAGCATGAAAACCATAATGTTCTCTAACTGCTACCATTTCCATATCATCTTCTTTCTAGTAGTAATTAACTTTTTTAATCGAATGTGGGTAGATTTCAGACATAACTCTCTTCACATGAAAGTTACGTGACTGGAGAAATTACTGAACTCTCCAAGTCTCAGATATACAATGATTTTCATTAATTAATATGTAATTAATAGTATCACATATGAGGAGCAGCTGTGGCAAACACACAGGAAACTTTAATGTCACTCTCCTTTCTTAAGTAATTATCTAGATCATTATAATGCTGACCATTAGAATGCTAGATTTCTAAATCTTGGTCCAAATGTTTTCACTACTGAAGCTTGAAGATGTAAATGGATGTGGGCATGAATGTTAATGAAACTAGCTGGTAATTTATTATATTTCCGATGATGGATGTTCTTTTTGTTTTTTCACATAATAGAACCAACAACTCCTAGTCTCATAAAGAATGAAGTTCCCACGACAAACACAACAGTGCCAAATCCTCCTGTTTCAAATGCTGTTTCAACCCTACCAAGTTCCCAGCACAAAAGTAAGTATGATGATTGTACTGCGTGAATGTATTAGATAGGACTACCCTCAGAATGTTTTTAGCCCACAGTTATAAAAGATCCATGCTCCATCTGTGCTTTCTTCTACTTACCATCAAACAAGGCAACAATCTGGCAACCTTGATTAGATTTTAACTTACAATCTACTCATAGCCACAACAGTATGAGTTCCAATGGAGTTCAAGATAAAGTTGAGTCATTGTTTACTAAATCATTTGTCTTCAAGAGGACGGTCAGTCAGTAATATACCCAACTCTGACAAAATTAGAACATTCTCTAAAAAAAAAATTAACCCATTGAAAGTTATTCACTAAGATGTAATGTGAAAAGGTGTAACATTGAAAGAAATTGTAATGTAAGTTGGAAATATTCATGTGAAGAAAACTCCAACAGAGAACGTCTTCAATACACTAAGGAAATAAATTATACCAATTTTCCCCAAATCAGGAAAGATTGAAAGATTTAATGTTTCCTTTTGAATATAGACCAGTCAAAATGTTTTTGATAAGGAAAAAAATTCATGAATTTACATAGATCAGTTTCTAAGTTTATTCCATACCTGTAATAATCAAGTTTGAACCTCAGGGCTATTTTGGTTAATGAATGAATCATATACAAAATATGAGAGAGTATTATCCCAAGTACTCTTGTCACCTGGATTGCTAACTAGCAGAGTCCTGATGATTCCCTTTCTACCTTAATTTTATGACTGATAGTTCCTCAGGTCATGATTATAGGATAAAAGTATTTGTATCTGAAGCAATCCTAAAATCTAGAGCAAAGGCAAGTTTGCTTTAGGAAAGAAGAGCTAATGAGATTTCTTCCTTAACTCCCTCTTCTGAAAAAAAATAGAATTAAAATAAAACATTTCTATAATTTTTATCATTCTTTTAAAATCACATTTAGGGCTGGAGAGATAGCTCAGCCATTAAAGGTTAGGCTCCCAATCAAAAATAAAATCACATTTATTTCTCTCATACTATTCTTTCATTCCATCTGTAGAAGATAAGTTCCTAAAATTATGAAATTTTACAAACAGAAATCATCAATTTGTTCCTCTGAAATTATAGTTTAAAAAAATGTAGGATTGTTGAACGAATTTATTTACTAACTTATATATCACCATTACTCTCATTGTGGGCAATAGTTGTATATTAGACAATGCCAGCATAGAATTAGCCTAGCGGTGGATGACAAAAACAGTTCAGAAGGTAAACCTTAGCCTGGTGCTAACAAATGGATGTATTCATAATAAGAAAACAGAGTAAGGAAAAAGCAAGTGATGGTGATGCTACACCTGTCTCTGGAGTCAAGGATGCCCTCTGAACAGTGGTGTTTAACAAGGAGAACGGAACAACGGGGAAGCAAACATGATGTGTGTAGAAGAGAAGCTGAAGAACACATGTGGAGTTTAGGTTGACTAACAGAGAGGAGGCCTGGTGGTTGAAATGAAAGTGGTTTAGGTAGCCTTAGAGTAGGAATCAAGCTCTTGTCTGTACAAGGCCAAATAGGTCACAGTGAATTCTAATAACTAGCACATATCTTCAAAAGACATGGCATTAACCAGAAGAAATCATGGCGCTAAAGTTCATGATATTCCCTGTAGTGCTATATTGTGTACCCCAATAAAGCTTATCTGGGGATCAGAGGACAAAGCCAGCTACTTAGATTAGACATAGAGACCAGACAGTGGTGGCACACACCTTTAATCCTATCACTCAGAGGCAGAGATCTGTAGCATGAATCTTAGAGAGTCTTGTTAATAAAAACAAATCCAGGCCAGGTATTGGGGTGAACACTGGAAGGTCAGAGAAACAGAACAGGCCACAGCTATCTCACCTCACCAACTTCTCAGCTGGCCTTGTTTCCTCAGACTGGAAGCTTCTGTGTTCTCATCCCAATGGCTCTCAGCTGAACTGCTGCTTAAAACCTAAAAGCTTAACCAGCCAAATGCTTCTAGTTTCTGGTCTTCGTGCCTTAAATACTTTTCTGCTTTCTACCATCACTCCCTGGGATTAAAGGCTCGCTTTCTGGGATTAAAGGAGTCACCATGCTTGGCTGTATCCTTGAACACATGGATTTCTGCCTCTGGAATGCTAGGATTAAAGGCATGTGCTACCACTGCCTATCCTAGGTACCTAGTAGCTTTTCTGTTCTCTGAACCCAGATAAGTTTATTAGGGTACACAATATTTTGGGGAACACAATACCACCACAGAGATCTCTCTGGATTTCTGTAAGTCCAAGGCCACACTGGGAACAGAGCCAGGCATGGTGGCATACACCTTTAATCTCAGCACTTGAGATCTCATATCTTTGCTTGGAAAGGACACATGCCTTTAATCCCAGGAAGTGATGTCTGGGCAGAGAAAGGCATATAAGGCATGAGGAAACAGGAACTCACACTCTTCTGGCTGACTTGTTCTGTTTCTCTGATCTTTTAGTTTTTACCCCAATATCTGGCTCCGGGTTTTTATTAATAAGACCATTTAGCAATTCATGTTATAATTTGTCTGGGCAATGATTTCTTGGATATGACCATAAAATCACAGATAACAACAACAACAAAAGACAAAGGGGTGATATTTTATCAAACTAAAAATCTAACTTGAAATGGTCATGCATTAATAAGTTAAAATAATAGGTATATAAAAAACTCAGACAACTCAGCAGCAAGAAAACATTAAGAAAATGAGAAAAATACTTAGACATTTCTCAATAAGAAAATAAAAATTGGTCAAAAATCTACACTCACTTAAAATCATAATGAGATATGACCTCATATATTTTAGAATTGCTTTTATTAAAGTGGTAAAATATATAGATGATAATATTGAAGAAAAGAAACCTTGTTAGATTGTTGATGGAAATATAAATTAGTACAAACACTGAAGAAAACCACATGGATGTTTCTCAGAAAATTAAAAATAGAATTGCCATATTTTATATATATATATATATATATATATATTACATATGTGTGGAATATATATGGATATATCCATATATTTCCTTGAATATATGTGTATATTCATATATATATTACATTCATATATGTGCATATATCTAAGAAAATTAAATCTGTATCTGGGAGACATGTACTTATTTCCACATTTATTGCTACCACATTAAAAATAGCCAAGATAGCAAACAACCATGAATGCCCTTCAACCAATGATAGACCTAAAAAGAAGAAAAAGTAGTGAAATATATATATATATATATATATATATATATATATATATATATATATATATAATTGAAGAGTACTAAGACTTGACAAAGAAGAAAAATATACCATGTATGATGGTGTGGATGAATTTGAAGGTTGTTATGCTAAGTGAAATAGACTTGGGATAGAAATACAAACATTTCATAACCTTGTTTACGTGTGGAATCTTAAGAAGTTTAACACTTCTGAGCTTGGCAGTACAGGCCTGAAATTCTAACTATTTAGAAGGGTGAGGCAAGAGGAGCTCAAGTTCAACGCTGCCAGCACTGAATAATGAGTTCAAGGCCATCCTGAGAAACTTACAAGACTTGGTCCACATACCCAAGATACAATGATATAGTATGAACATCCTCAATCCAAAAGGGAGAAATTGAGGCAAAGGAAGGATAATATGGGTAAAGCAGGCTGGAAACCCATCAGGGCAAACACTAAACCCCATAGCTTCATGTGCAGCATCACAGTGTTGTAAACTGTGATAGAGTACCAAAGGACTCTCCGAAGGTGTTATTGCTATCCTTATGGCCTTTGCATGTAAAGACCACTGGGCTTTCTTAGGCTGACCTCACTCACTGTCTGCAGCATTCATCAGTATGTGCCAGACATCTCTAATACTCTGGGGTCTCCACTGTAGCTTCGGATTAATCCTCATCCTTGTTTATTCATCACCCTATCACCCTTGAGCTGCTTACAAGGACTCTACACAGGCTTTCAAATGAGTTAGCAAACCTTTACCCTTTGGTCCTATGGCAGATGGTACCTGGGGAATTCTCAAGATAGCCACAAAACATTTTATTGTTCCATTGCAAAGTGACTTTAATTCATTTTACTGATGTTAACCTTCTTTGCAGCCACATTCCTTGTCCACATTGACCATGCTCCTTTTCTAGGCAAATTTTATACTTTCAAGTTTTTCAACTCTTGTTTTTTTGCTTCTAGCTCTCATTGGAAATGTACCTAAAACCAGCTACATGATATATATGTCATAGCCTAAGTGCTATGCAAACCTGATATTTCCTCTACCAAATTAATCCCATTACTTTTAAACTCAACTTCATGTGAAGTGTTAGAAATTTGGGGGAAAGTAGACAAATTTTTAGACAGAAGAGAGCAACCATGCCTTTAGTTCAATATTGAGTCTACCTGAAACATGGCGAGCACAATCTTGACTCTCCAGAATTCCTGTCAGAATCATGCTCTTTGGGAATTTCACCAGGACCACCCATCAAACATCCTACACTCTCTCAGGCCCATTTCTCCAAACATTTCCAAATTCATCCTGAAACCCAGTTCCAACAACTAAAGAGCCACATGGTATCAGATTCAATCAGAGCAATAACCCCTATTCTTTGGTGCCAAGTTTTTGAATTAGCTACATCTATGTGGTTATAACAGAAATCTCTGAGAGACTAACTTAACAGAGGAAAGACTGCTTTGGTTTATGGTTAAATATTTCAGGCCAGAGTCCTTGGCTCCATTGATTCTGGAGCTATGATAAGTCATGACATTGCGCTGGCAGGAACATCGAGTAGGAAGCTCTTTAGCTCACAGTGAGCAAGGACCAGAGAAAGAAAAGAGACCAGAAGAAGGTATTACCTACCCCCAGGAGCTGGCTCCAGTGAGCTACCTCTTCCAGCTGGAACTCACCTCATAACATTTTTGGAACTTCCCAAAACATCTGGGTACCAAGCATTCAAAAAATGAGTCTGGGGGCATTACATTCCTACCATGACAGCCCCCCCATCTCAAATAT